ATCTTATCTGTTCCATCTTCTTTACATAGCTTTTCCTTTTGGTTCATAGAAGTGCTCATTTCTTTGCATTCTTCGAGTTTAAACTTCTTCAAAATCTCCTCGACGTATTTCTTCTGACACATGAAGACTTCATGTTCATTTTGTTTAATTTACATTCCAAGAAAGAAGGTCATCAAATCGAGATCTGTCATCTCGAAAGCCTCCATCATTTCCTTTTTGAACTCTTCAATTAAACTCATATTACTTCCCGTAACTAGAAGATCATCAACATATAATGAGATAACCAAAATCTCCATGCCAGCACACTTGATATATAGCGTGGATTCTGATAGGCTTCTGACAAATCCAAGACTCAGCAAGTGCTCATCAATTCTGCTATACCAAGCTCTTGGAGCTTGCTTCAAACCATAGAAAGCCTTCTTAAGAAGATAAACCTTATCTTCTTCACCTTCCTTCTCAAAGCCTTCAGGCTGCTCAACGTATATTTCTTCTTGGAGAACTCCATTCAAGAAAGCAGATTTGACATCTAGCTGATATACTCTCCAATTTCTTTGTGCTGCTATTACAAGTAGTAATCTGATGGTGTCTAGCCTGGCCACTGGTGCAAATGTGTCAAAGTAGTCTACTCCAAAAATCTGAGCGTAGCCTTTAACCACAAGCCTCGCCTTGTGCTTTTTGATGGAACCATCAGCATTGAGCTTGGTTCTAAACACCCATTTGACCCCAATGACAATTTCTATCTTCAGGTCTATCAACAAGCTGCCATGTCTTGTTTTTCTCAATTATATACAGCTCCTCCTTCATTGCAACCATCCAATTTTGATCAAGTTTTCCATCTTCAAAACCTGCAAGCTCACAAACTGCAATGTTGCATCTCTGATAAACATCAGAAAGCAATCTAGTGCCCCTGACTGGAGTGTCATCCATCACCTCATTTTGCCACTCTTCAGAGCTTTGTTCAACCGTATCTTGAAGAGAGAAATTGAGCTTCAAGTTATTTGACGCTTGATTAGTTTTCCTTGCTTCATCCCAATTCCATTCTTCATCTTCTACAAAATGCACATCTCTGCTGATGACAATTTTCCCAGTTTGTGGCTTAAAAACTTTGTAAGCTTTGGTGACATTGATGTAACCAATGAAGACGCCTGGTGATGCCCTCTTGTCCAATTTGTCACGCTTTGTATGTGGAATGTAAGTAAAACACAAACAACCAAATATTTTAAGAAAGTTCAGAGATGGTTTGTGTCCATTCCAAGTCTCGAATGATGTCTTATTCTTCACAGCTTTTGTGAGAAGCCTATTCTGCACAAAAAAAAAAAACCCCAGCAGTGTTTGCTGCTTCAGCCTAAAACTGCTTTGGTAGGTTCTTCTCATGTAGCATACATCTTGTCATCTCCATTATGAATCTGTTCCTTCTCTCACTTACTCCATTTTGTTGCGAAGAGTATGGGGTGGTTAATTGATGTTGGATGCCTTCCTCCTCACAAAAACGGTTGAATGATTCAAAGGTATACTCCTTGCCATTGTCTGATCTAAGAGTCTAAATTCTACAGCCACTCTCATTTTCAACTTTGGCTTTAAAGTTCCAGAAGACTTGAGCTACCTCTGACTTGTGCTTCAAAAAGAAAATCCAACACATACAGGTGAAATCATCAATGAATACTACATAATAGAGACTACCTTTCAAAGAAGGCGTTCTTTGTGGGCCTGCAATGTCTGTATGAATCAATTGCAACTTTTTTTATGCTCTCCATGTTGCCTTGGGAAATGGTATTCTGCTTTGCTTACCAAACTGACATGCCTTGCAATTTAGTAAGTGTTCATCAAACTCAGGTAGATCATTTGCCATTTGTCTCGCTTTCATTTGCAACAAGCCTTGATGGTGATAATGTCCAAGTCTCTTGTGCTAAATCTCCGTGACATTTTCTTTTATTAAAAAGACAGCTTGCCCCTTCTCTAGTGGATTAAATGTGAAGCTTTTTCCTTTCATTTTTACCTTAAACATGTCTTGACCAGTTGCATCCTCAATTAGGCAGTGCTTGTCTTTGAAAGTAACTTTGAAGCCTTTCTCAATTAGTTGACCAACACTTAATAGACTTTGATCAATTTCTGGAACATAAAGTACATCAATAATAAACTTTGTACCTGAACAGCTTGGTATTGCAACAGTGCCTCGTCCTTTCACTGCTATGTGGTTTCCATTTCCAATTCTGACTTTGGATGTCTCAGTAGGCTTCAAGTCCACAAAAAGCTCCCTGTCATGAGTCATGTGATTTGTGTAGCCACTGTTGATTAGCCAACATTCACTCAAGTCATTGCTTGAGAAACATGTTGCAACAAAAAGCCGATCTTCCTCCTCTTCTCCAACAACTTAAGCTTCTGCTTCTTGTTGCTGATTTTTACTCTTACAAATTACAGCTTCATGGCCAAGTTGATTACATTTACTGCACCTTGCATCTGGTCTTTCCCAACACTTGTAGGGTGGATGACCTTTCTTACCACAATGCTTGCATGGAGGATAATTTCCCTCTGAGTTTCCTGTCTTACCGTTGTTGTAGTTGTTTACAGTATTTTCTCCATTTGTTGGCTTATTCTTCTTATTATTCTTCTTGTTCTTTCTATAATCATTGTGTTTCGCTGGCAGTGCACCTTCAGCTATTCCATCTTTTCTCATGATTCTTCGTTGCTCTTGTGCTTGCAAGGTATTCAATAATTCTACCAAGGTAATCTTGGACAATTCCTTAGTATTTTCTAAGGTGGTTATTGTTGCCTCAAATCTCACAGGCACAGTTACAAGAATTTTTTCATCAATTCTTGAGTCAGTAAACTCAGAGCCAAGCATTCTTACTCGATTTGCGATACTTAGAAGCCTATCAATGTAGTCCTTGATAGATTCTGATTCTTTCATCCTTTGCAACTCAAAATGTCTTATGAGATTCAGCACCTGCATGCCTTTTATTTGCTCACCTCCTTCATATTCTACGTTGAGATAGTCCCAGATAGCTTTGGCTGACTTTAGAGATATAATCCGAGTGAATATGCTCGAAGAGACAGCAGTAAACAAGCAGGCCTTTGCCTTTGATTTCTTTATTTTTCTATCCTTGTGATTTTTAATCTGTACCATCATGTGATTGTTTGGTAAAGGTGGAATTTAATAGTCTTCTTCCATGGCTTCCTAGATATCCAAGGCTTCCAGATAAGTTTCCATCCTTACAACCCAGATTTGATAATTTTCACTATCGAAAACTAGAGGCACAA